ACACACACACACACACACACACACACACACACACACACACACACACACACAATGATATTTCTTAATATTACATGGAATACCTGGCGGTGTCATCTCTTGACTCAGAGGTTTAACTGTCCATCCTTCACCATCGCTAGCTGCCGTTGCACATTCTACTAGAACGAGGCCAGTCCATGTTATATGTTGTTCACCCATGTTACTCTTTGTCTTCCCTTCGAGCACGCCTTTCACAATAGTAACGTGTCGTTTTAAATGACCAACGTATTGTATTTACAATTATTTTTTAAAAATTCAGCAGAGTTTGTCTTGAGTCGAGAATCTGACACACTCTATTGCTTGTCTTCTTGCTTTCCAGTGGCATTTTTATTTCTTCGGTCATTACATTACTTTGGGGTAATACTTTTTAAGTTCCCTACATTTTTCACAGTGACCGGTCACAATCGTTTTTTGTGTCTTGGTGTGCTCTAGTGTGCCACACACCTTGCTGCCGAGCCTCGAGATCATTCAAATACCTATCCTTTGGGTAAGTTTACCTGCTCTCTTCACCACTCAAGATTTCACAGCTAAGATAGACCACCCCCAACACCTGCAGCTGGTGTATACATTGTGTTAGGCCCTTCCCTGGCGACCTGTCCAGCTTCGTAGAACGTGCTAGTAGGGACCGAAGTCCTATGGACTCGCAAGCTTCCCCGCCTTCGCAAGGCATGTATACAAAGGCTGTTTCATATCATAATGGGACGTTTTCTTAAAAAAACCAATGACCGTACCTGATCTTTTTCTTATTCTGTATTCTCTTCTCTCTCCAGATTATCGGAAGACCGCCTGAGAAGTGCACAGAGATGGTCAGCAGAACAGACGGGTCCTGTTCCCGTAACCGTCGTTTGTGAGTAAAGCATCAGACACAGAACGTTAACGGTGACTCTTGACATAGCCGTATACAACATGGGACAGTTTGCAAAAGGTCAGTCAGTTTACCAGTCTGCCTCTCTGTTGCCCAAACTACTCTCCCCTCTCCCCTCCCACCCAGACACACATACATCTGTC